GGTTTCTGTTTCAGTTCCCTTTAGCACTTGTGGTGTTCAGTTGTGCTTTCTCGTATTGACTTTGGCTTCGTATTCTGACTTCGTTTTCGCTTTATCCTTATCTGTACTGTTTGCCGGCTTGCTGTTTTCCGTGTACCAGACCCCGGCTTGTCCTAGTTTACGCTGTCTCTCTGTGCCCTTGACCTCGGTTTGTTCCTGGCTCTGTCTCCTCTTATATACGTCGAGTCCGGCCATTCTAAGGTCCGGTAGACGTATCTCTCCTCTGTATTTGCCTCTGTTTAGCTGGATTCTGCGTGTAGGGGTATATTCTCGTTACAAGATTGAATAGCAGTTAGTTATCTTCAAGCAGGTGTGTCAGCCCTACAGCGTGTACTCTGCCAGTACGCTGCCACCTCCTCTACTCCTCCTACTCCATCCTCTTCATAACCTCCTCGGCTTAGTCCTCTTCTGCTGCTGCGTCTTGCTCCACATCAACGGATAGGGGGCGTAACAGTGATTAAACTGATAACAATAGTACTAAACACACCACTCACTCACTGGTGTCACAATAGCTTGGATTTAGAAACAAAAATTTTTTTTGACTGTTATAGATTGAATAGCAGTTAGTTATCTTCAAGCAGGTGTGTCAGCCCTACAGCGTGTACTCTGCCAGTACGCTGCCACCTCCTCTACTCCTACTCCATCCTCTTCCATAACCTCCTCGGCTGAGTCCTCTTCTGCTGCTGCGTCTTGCTCCACATCAACGGATAGGGGACGTAACAGTGATTAAACTGATAACAATAGTACTAACACACCTACTCACTGGTGTCACAATAGCTTGGATTTAAAACAAAAAATTTTTTTTTCAAATGTTATAGATTGAATAGCAGTTAGTTATCTTTCAAGCAGGTGTGTCAGCTCCTACAGTGTACCAGTACGCTGCCACCTCCTCTACCTCCTACTCCATCCTCTTCCATAACCTCGGCTAGTCCTTTCTGCTGCTGCGCTCTTTGCTCCACATCAACGGATAGCGCAAATAGTGATTAAACTGATAACAATAGTACTAAACACACCACTACTCACTGGTGTCACAATAGCTTGGATTTAAAAACAAAAAATTTTTTTTTTTTCACTGTTGGTAGATTGAATAGCAGTTAGTTATCTTCAAGCAGGTGTGTCAGCCCTACAGCGTGTACTCTGCCAGTACGCTGCCACCTCCTCTACTCCTCCTACTCCATCCTCTTCATAACCTCCTCGGCTTAGTCCTCTTCTGCTGCTGCGTCTTGCTCCACATCAACGGATAGGGGACATAACAGTGATTAAACTGATAACAATAGTACTAAACACACCACTCACTGACTGGTGTCACAATAGCTTGGATTTAAAAACAAATTATTTTTTTCACTGTTATAGATTGAATAGCAGTTAGTTATCTTCAAGCAGGTGTGTCAGCCCTACAGCGTGTACTCTGCCAGTACGCTGCCACCTCCTCTACTCCTCCTACTCCATCCTCTTCATAACCTCCTCGGCTTAGTCCTCTTCTGCTGCTGCGTCTTGCTCCACATCAACGGATAGGGGGCGTGAATAGTGATAGTGGGGCGAACTGGAGGCTGCCAGTACTAAATACTACCTACCACTCACTGGTGTCACAATAGCTTGGATTTAAAAAAAACATTTTTTTTTTCACTGTTATAGATTGAATAGCAGTTAGTTATCTTCAAGCAGGTGTGTCAGCCCTACAGCGTGTACTCTGTCAGTACGCTGCCACCTCCTCTACTCCTTCTACTCCATCCTCTTCCATAACCTCCTCGGCTTAGTCCTCTTCTGCTGCTGCGTCTTGCTCCACATCAACGGATAGGGGGCGTAACAGTGATTAAACTGATACCAATAGTACTAAACACACCACTCACTCACTGGTGTCACAATAGCTTGGATTTAAAAACAAAAAACTTTTTTCACTGTTATAGATTGAATAGCAGTTAGTTATCTTCAAGCAGGTGTGTCAGCTCTACAGCGTGTACTCTGCCAGTACGCTGCCACCTCCTCTACTCCTCCTACTCCATCCTCTTCCATAACCTCCTCGGCTGAGTCCTCTTCTGCTGCTGCGTCTTGCTCCACATCAACGGATAGGGGACGTAACAGTGATTAAACTGATAACAATAGTACTAAACACACCACTCCTATCTGGTGGCACATTAGATTGCACGCGCAGTGCCCCAAATTTGCTGTGATCTGTGAGTAAGGTAAACGGTTGTCCATACAAGTAGGTTGCAGCTTTTTGAGGGCCCACACCACCGCTATGCACTCCTTTTCAATGGCAGTGAATATACTTCGCTGTGCAAAAGTTTACGGCTTAGATAAGCCCCCGGTTGCTAGCCACCATCTGCTCCGACTTGGCTCAATACTGCTCCCAATCCAAGCATAGAAGCGTCTGTATGGACGAGAAAGTGTTTAGTTGGATCAGGATAAGAAAGTACAGGTGATTTAATGAGCGCCGTCTTGAGCTGTTGGAAGGCCTGTTCACACTCTGGGGCCCATACTACTATCTTGGGGAGGTTTTTACACGTTCCTATATGGCACTTACTGGGCTTTAGGGTCAGTCCGGACTCCCTAATCTGGTCTATTACGGCTCCTATGTGGGTCAGGTGTTCGGGCCAGGAGCAGCTAAAAATGCCTATACCATCCAAGTAGGTGTGTATCAGTGTG